GGCAAGGCCACACACCTAGGTTGTGGGTTTGATTCCTGGTCGGGCGCTTAGAGAAGGCAACCAATTGATATCTCTCTCTCTCTCTCTCTCTCTCTCTCAAAAAAAAAAAAAGAATCAATTTTTTTTAAAAAAGGATAGCTGAAGAATGGGTCTCTCTATACAATGGCTCATACAAAGCAAACTGCCTGCAAATAGACTGGTGGTAAAGCACCGAGGAAGCCACTAGCTACCAAAGTCACTCTCAAGAGTACACCTTCTACCAAAGGGGTGAATAAACCTCATCATTACAGGCCTGGTACCATGGAACTTCCTAAAATTAGACGTTAGCAGTAGTTTGCTGAACTTCTGATTCACAAACTTCCCTCCCAGTATCTGGTGTGAAAAATTGCTCAGGACTTCAAAACAGATCTATGCTTCCAGAATGCACCTATTGGTGCTTTCCAGGAGGCAAATGAGGCCTATCTGGTTAGCCTTTTTGAAGACACCAACCTGTGTGCTATCCACGCCAAACATGTAATAATTATGCCAAAAGACATCCAGCTAGCACACCACATATGAGGAGAGTGTGCTTAAGAATCCACTAAGAAGGAAACATTTCATTCTGTTAAAAAAAATTCTCTTCTTCCTGTTATTGGTATTTCTGAACATTAGATTTTTTTTTCTATGGGTCAAAAGTTACCTAAGTATATGCTTGCAAAAAGGGGACAAAAATCAGGTATTAGCAGTATTCCCATTTTCATTTGTGTGAGAATTTTTTAATATAAATATGGGAACATAAAGCATTGATGCAAGTTAAAATGTTTCAGTAAACAACATTCAGCAGTTTAACTTTATAAAAATGTAAATAAACGTGTTAATTTGGGCAATGTCAGCATTTGGATTTTTTAAAAAACAGTAAACTTCTTATTGATGGCAAAAAATGAGAGTATCAAGTCAGTTGGCAAAATTGGAATACTGACAGTAGATAATACAAAAGTATCACATTATTGTTGAATGTACTAAATTTGGTAACTGTACTATAATTATGCAACATAATATTCCTATTCTATATATTCAAAAACATCACATTTGACAATATTCAAAATGTTATGAAAGTTTGAAATTGCCAAACAAGTTTTTAAGTTAACTTCCTAAATATGCAGAGTCTATCTGATGTCACTATGAAATACAGATCATGTCAGTGAGATTATAATCCAAGAAGAAACAGAATAATAACTGCAGTATAAAAATTTAATATGGATGCAAATTAAGATATATAGAGAGGTATAATAGGTATGATCAGGGAAAGTGTTACTTTTCCATGTGTTCATTTGGGGAAGAGAGAGAGACACAAATATCTAGAAGGACCAAGAGCAATTTGACCTATTCTTTCAGGACGATTTCATGGAGAGCATGGCATTTCAAAATCTGTTTGAATCATAGGAGGGAAAGGACTGGTAGTAACTGTGCCTTGTGTCCAGAATGCAGTGCCCCTCCAAGACCTAATCCTGCTAGAACAAATGAAATACCAAGCAAGTAAGCCACTCATGGGTAGAAAAAAAGCTGGCCACATGGAAGACAGAAAAGAACTGAGTTTTCATGGATTCCCTGGTAACATATATGAAAGAGACTGTGAGGAGCTTGGACATGATTGCAAAGAAAAGAAGCAACTAAATCTAGGGCAGTGATGGAGCTGAAAGGCTGTTCACAGACTGAGGAAAGATGAATACCAGAGGACTTGGATCTCAGCTAAAGGGCAATATTCCAGTTATTGAATTTTCAATAAGTGGACCTTTTGAAAACCATGATCTTCTTCAAACACATTTTTTGTTTGAAAAATGAACTTTTGCCCAGTCATACTCTTGAATTATCAGAAGAAAATTTCCAGCTCAAGAAATATAAAATTAATTTTTCCACACAGAAACATCCAGGATCTGTTTGCTCTACTAAAATTGCAAATGGAATTCAATGCAGTGCAACAGGTTTGGTATCTTCCATTTTTTTCAAACTCATACCTTTCACTGATATTTTGTGGGGTAATGCTGATCATGGAAAATGGAGGAGCTACATCTTGTTTACAGTCATCTTTTTACTATAATTTTATGTACACAACATTAAAAGTACTGGCACATGAGAATCGTTGCCTAAATAGTATCTGATCATTTTTAATTATTTGGGTCTTTGGTTTATGGCCACGTGACAGTTGAAAACACTAGAGATGATTTTTAAACTCCTAATTTATATGGAAACAATAGCTTTTTATGTCTTTAAAACCTATTGCTAATGAATATTATAAAACTCACAATGGGTTCCAATTCAACCTATTTTCTAGGTAATCCATTAACTGAATTTTGAATAACCATTATCAGTATTTGAGTCTGCAGTCTTCATAGTAACCTCTTTTAGAGTAAACATCTATAATTGACTTCAATGGTAACCCTTCAACTTAAGTACAAAATTAAATATTTATATTTTACCTTGTTTATGTAATATTCGTACTTACATGAAAAATATTTGCTTTATTGGAGCTACTTTAGAAGTATAGCTATTCTTTGATTCTACTGGGGTTAAAAGCATAAGTTCAGAGTTTTTTTATTTTAGCCTTGCCTTTAATGTAAAAAAAATTAAATAAAGCAACCAGCAGATGTCAACTTAAAAAAAGGAAATTAATTTTGTATCTCTTGACTATATATGATGGATTTTCCAGAAGAATCCAAATAGAATATACTTATAACCTTTTAGATGATTTATAACTAAATATGATTTAATTTCATCCACCAGGCTTTTCATAAATATAAATTGCTGAATCAGAAAAAAAAAGTTTTGTTAGATCATTTAAAACACAGTCAGCAGAGGAATATGGTATTTTGAAAAATCAAGAAAGAAATTGATATTATTTTCTAGGAAAGCTACCCCATAAGCTGAAAGCATTTTATATTTAAAGTAAATTTGAATAACAAACATCAGAGTAGACTAAAACTTTAGTCTTTCTCATATATGTTAGCACATAAGTGCTGTTTTGATGGAACTGAATGATCCACAGAAGTAGAAGTCTTGGCATTTAGTAGTTTTTTTCTTCATTCAAGGTCAAGGTTCACTCACAGTTGCCTCCTCCCCCAACCCCATCTCTCCATGGGTTTAAATGGTCATCTTGGAGACTATTTCTAATAATCAAGGAATAAAGAACTCTGAAATAATGAAAATAAATGTATAAAGAAATATTTAGCCCTGACCAGTGTGGCTCAGTTGATTGGAGTGTCATCCCGAGAACCAAAGGGTCGAGAGTTCAATTCCTGATCCGGTCACAAACCCAGGTTGTGGGTTCAATCCCCAGTCAGGGTGCATGCAGGAGGAAATTGATCGATGTTTGTCTCTCATGTCAATCTCTCTCAATCTCTCTCTCTCTCTCTTTCTCCCTCCTCTCTCTAAAATCAATTTTTTGAAAAAGAAATGTTTAACTGACCTCTTGAAAATCCTGCTCAAACTTCCATAGTTGCAGATACTGCTCCATTTTTAGTTGGTGTTTTTCCCAAAATTCATCAAAAGCAATTTCCATATCATGTACTTGAGTCAGCAATCTTAACAAAGAAAAGTCATAGAATTCCTTAAAAACAAAGGCTTGTTTTATAAGTAGGTACATAAACTGGGTATGGACATTAAGAATTATAGGCAAAGTCACAGCCTATAACACTTGGTCCAAGTAAAGAACATCCCTGTCCACAGAACCTAGTTTGCAAGCAAATGAACTTCTGTGAGACAACTCAGGAATGAGTTCTTAAATTTCCAGAGATCCAGGAATACTTTAACACTTAACAGATTGTAGCAAAAATGCATAATTCTCTTTCAAAAGTATAAAATAAGTAACTCTATACCCAAAAGAAAGTACTCACTTATTCACAGTTTGCCAGTCACCACTTATTTGCTCCTGATGTTCAAATCTTGAACTGATAGCTACTTCAGGGTCAGGCACTTCCAGATTTGTTAGCAGAATTTTTCCTTCTTTGGTTACAGCTGTAATATCATTCTGTACAAAGGTACAATAGGGGATGTATCAAATACCTGCCAGTAACCTAATCTGAATAACCTGAAGAGAAGGAAGAATATATCTATAGCATGCAGAATAAATATAGTAGTTTAGAATGGTCTTTGCTTTCATAACTGAAACCATCAAGGAATACCACAGAATCCAAAAGCTGTGAGAATCTCCAAGAAGCCTCTGCCTGTTGAGATGGATGCTACAATCACCATTTCTATAAGATCTTTACAGGCAGAAGTACCCAATGCACCATTTGTAGCCTCCTTCTTTTATTGGTAGAGAGTTCTAAGTTATTCTATTCTGTTAATATTTTTAATGTACTTCAATAAAACAATAATAGCATAATAAAGTGTACCACACTAGAAAGCATACAATTGCAAATAGTATTTAATATATATTCAGATATTGTTAGGTAAATGCCTTTCCTACTAAAATTTCATTGTTGCCCATCACTGCCTGCCTTAAGTATTATGTCTACATTTGGATTAATTAATCTATCATGAAGCATATGCTTCTATTCAGAAGGTTTTAACCTTGGACGGTGAATTTTTCAGGCATGTAAGAGTAATAATGGCTTCCTTCAGGAGATCAAAAAATGGAGTGTACATGTATTTTTGTGGAAACATGTTCCATGACACCACCATCAATATGAATCTCTCTATATAAAAACCTAGTATGCAAAGTGTCCCCTCGGGAATTCGACTGACTGGGAGTTCGATCGCTCGCTATGATGTGTGCTGACCATGAGGGGTGGCGCGGAATGAAGGAAGGCCCCAGCAGGCAGCTGGCAGCCACTAGGGACCTTACCCTTGCTTAAATTTTGTGCACTGGGCCTCTAATAAGAACATAAACATTCAGAGCTATTGCCAACTATGTGCCAAACACTGCAGTACATATATCATGTACTTCATTTCATTCTCACAACAGCTCTACAAAGTATGCATGTGTCATCATCAACAACCTCATTGTAAATATGAAAAAAACTGAAACTTTGAAAGGGTAAGCAAATTATCCAACACACAGCATTTGAGAGACAGTGCATTCTTTCCTTGAACAGTTTTGCTTTTAGATTGTGATTCAAAATTTCACTTTCTCTCCTCTTCTTAATTTAAAAATGTCACCTCTAGCCCTGACCAGTTTGGCTCAGTGGATAGAGTGTTGGCCTGCAGACTAAAGGGTCCCAGGTTCGATTCTGGTCGAGGGCATGTACCTTGGTTGCAGGCACATCCCCAGTAGGGAGTGTGCAGGAAGCAGCTGAATCAATGTTTCTCTCTCATCAATGTTTCTAACTCTCTATCCCTTCCTCCCTGTAAAAAATATATATATATATATTTTTTTTAAATGTCACCTCTATATCAAGCTTGTACCTGTCAGTACCCCAGCTAGCCTATTATCATATGAAGAACATGAGTCTACATGGAAGCTTAGTGGTTATTCAGATCATTCATAAACTTTTTGGGAAAAGTGAATTCAAAGTATTTGGTGACTCAGAAACTTTCACAACCCAACACTCCAAACAACTGGGTAGGAGAGCTAAATCAACTTCTTAGTTATTGAAGAAAACATCAAGAACTACTACTCTATGGAAGAGAAAGTTTGTAATTAATTTATCAATGTTTGGCTTAGTCCCAATGCTAATATATGGCAAAGTTGAGACTAGAAACCAGACCTCCTGACTTCTCATCAGGTTCTCCATTTTACATCCTACCTGTGGCAAGGTGTGTGCCTATTGATATTCACTCTAACTTTCCAAATGAGAGTGCCTTTTCACAGGATAAACAATATATAGTAACAAAAATGACGCAGAGCATTTATAAACTATTCAATTTACAAATTAACAACTTACCAAGAGAATACATCATTTGCAAAAGGGACACTTACATTCAACATATCCAGGACATTCTCCTCTTGTATTCTTATTTATATTAGTGTGCTTTATAATATATAAATATATCTTTTGTCTTCCTACCCACTAATCAGTGTGAAATGGACACATTGAATACCTCTCTAGAAAAAGACCATGGAAAACATTTGTTCATCTCCTCTATCAGACATACCTTTAACAGGTGATACTTTTCAGCACGAATTGCAAGAATTCCTTCTATTGAAGGAATATCTTCTGGTAGGTCTGTCTCAGCTAGCTCGGTTCCAAAGGATTGTAACATTTGAGCCATATCTTTCACAGTGAGGGCAAAATTTTCTATAGCCTGCAAAGAACCAGTGATTCCTTTAATTCTATGGAAACCCTGCCAGCATATCAAAAGCTGGGTCAGTAATTGTATTTACTTTTATTTAGGTATGAGAGCAAACGCATAAACTACAAACTCTCCTCTGCTAAGGAAAGTTGGCATTGCCCTTGACAATCAACTAACTTTGCATCTAAGCCTCCAAAATCTATAGTCAGGAGAAGAGTCTTCTTCAATGCCTTTTATCTAAATTTCTGTACTTATTTCTTAGACACTGATGAAAACTATTTCTTAAAGATGTCATGTACTGAGTAATTTGTTTTACGACCTTAAAAATAGTGTTTTCCTTATTCTAGTAAACTCTGTAATTGTAAAATTACTTTATAATAGCTTTACTTCTGAAGATAGATGAGAATATCAAAGTCACTTTATATTTATTATAGTTTATGAACAAGTATTAGCATTCCAAGCAAGGTGATGGAATGAGGTGATGAGGGAACATCTACTCATAGCAATTCATTTCAGGTTCTATTGCCCTAAAATGTCAAGTAAGATTTTGTTATTTATTTTGTTTCCAAATCAATTACTCAGAGAAAGAAGGACAACATAAAGAGACCATCTAAATCCCCCTGTTTACCACACAGCTCAAGGTATCTGCTTTTTTTACTTATAGCCTTTTCAGTAAAAGGCTAGCACTGCTAATTTTAACAATATACTTTCATATGAATGACTAGGACCATTGAATGAAGAATAAACGTGAGAAAAATAGAGCCCCGGTTTAATTAAACATCATTTAGTTACATCCTTCCGAAGGTTCCTGTGTTTCTGGGATTTGGAGCAAAGATTCTTAGACCACAAATTCACCCCTGTGAGGTGCCAGACCTTTGCCTATTTGTAAACTTCTAGAACAGAAGGAGACTTTGCTACAAATATAACTTCCTCAGGAGCACCATTAGGATGGTAAGATTAACAATATGATTTGCAGTTTTTAGTCCTCACCCAAGGATATGTTTAGAGAGAAGAAGGGAGGGAGGGAGCAGGAGAGAGAGACACAGACAGGCAGAGACAGAGACATTGGATCGGTTGCCTCTCGTACACTCCCTGACTGAGGATCAAACCCACAACCTAGGCATGTGCCCTGACTGGGAATCGAACCATTTCAGTATACAGGACAATGCTCCAATCAACTGAGCCACCTGGCCAAGACATGATCTGCATTTTTTTTGAGGGCTCACCGTATGTCAGGCCCCATGATAAACATTTTGATCTTCCCAAGATCCCTATAAGTTAAAGTATTATTATTCCCATTTTACAACTGGGAAAACTGAGATTCAGAGAGGTTATATAACTTGTGCAAGGCGACACAGCTAAAAATCATCAGTGCTATGATTTGAATCTCAACCCTTTGTTTCTTCAAGTTACTAAATGGCCACAGAAGGGGTGAACAGAAGAAGATCTCCTTATTCCCTAGGCCTCTCCTTCAACTGCCATCCTCAGTGATTCTTCATCATTTCTAGGTATTTCCTATAGAAGAAAATCAAGATATTGACTTATATATGTTTTTTTTTAAAAAAATAGGAGCCCCCAGAAATCTGTTTTTCCCAAAGAGGAAAAGAACTCTAGCACTAGATTTAAAAGCTCACATGAACTATAGGCTCTACAGTAAGGGCAAAAGAAACATACATTTCTGAAGATGATCCATTCACTGTGGCAGTACTGCAAGGTGCCGCCTAACTCGGGGGTTAATTGCTTGTCATCAATGTATGTCAGCAAATCACTAACTGAGCTCAGCATAACAACCTATATAAATAAGCAAGAAAGATACTGTTAACTGCCTTTTGTGGCATCCCTCCATTCAACTGTATAATGAAATTAGCCTTCAGTTAGAAGAAATTTATCTTTTATAAATGGTTCTAAAAATTCTCTCCTGTATAACCCCCACATATGTATGCAGCACTACCTTCTTCAGGTAATAACAGTTTTCATTTACAAAACATTTATCTGTAAAGCAAAATTAATTTCCATAAAAACCCAAATACCTGATTCTCCTTGATCTAATGGTCAACTTTTTGAAAGAATGTTATGCCTACCACAAAGCAAAAGGACTTCATGTAGTCAGTTATAATTTATCAGGAGAGACTGATCTTTGCAAAAGTATCAAAATTTATGAGCACCTTATTCCTAGCCCTAAAAACATATAAAAATATCTGTTATAAAAACAAATACATAATATTCTGAACTAGCTCAGGATGTAAGTTCATGGAAGTTCAAAAACATAAAACACATATTCATTATTTTCTAAAATGAAATGTCTTGATTTTATGCACACATGCACACATACAGAGTGGGGCAAAAGTAGGTTTACTGTTGTTTGTATGAAAAATAATACAATAATTAATAAATAATACAATAATAAACTCTGTACTCATAACTGTAAGCCTATTTTTGCCCCACCCTGTATATGTAACATATGTGACATATATCTTTTTAAAAAGGAATTTCCTTATTAAAAATTCATTAATCTATTCCTTTAACAGCAGAAGCAGATGACTTTTAGGCTTTTTAAATTTACATTTTTGGAAGACAAATTCTATTTCTTTTAAATTATTCACGAGCACATATAAAACATCAACAGCATGGTACAATACCTTCATGAGAATAAAAGGAACAACACATTTTTAAAAACATACTCTTACCGGTAGTTTGAGCATGAAATCTTCCTGACTAAATCGAAATCCAATGTCTGTAAAAGTTCGTTGAAGAAAACTGGTTGGACGTAGAACCAATACCAAGTGTAAGTTCCCAGGGAAGGAAGCCTATAGAAAGAAAGAACACAGGAAAGAAAGAAAAAATTGTCAAAACATGTACTCAGCTGAGCACACATCACTTAAAAGCCAATAAAGACAAACTTTAAAAATGGATGTTGATAAAATCTAAAAACATGAAAATAAAACCAATGTGACGTCATCAGGTTCAGATCTTTGCAATGCTCAAGGCATGAAATTTTCTCACACTAAAGTAAGTCCCAAGTTACAAAGAATTAAACTCTTAAGCTTCATTTTAAAGTTAGTTATTTGTACTCAAATTGCATTTATTTCCTGTAAAGACAGAGTTAGGAGGCAGGTTCCTAGGGTAGCCCTAAAAGTCAAAGAGAGATAAAATACTGTACACTTGTAGTAAACAATAGAAGAAAAGTATATTATTAACTCAAATTTTTATTTACATTCACTGACTATCTTCCGTTTGTCCAACTCTGTGTATTTAAATGAATAAATATTAGGCACTATTAGTATTCTATGTGCACAAATTAATAAAATACAGTTCACACCCTTCTTGCAAGAAAATGACAATCTAATAGTGGAGTCCATTAATAACCATTAGCTCTATAGCATGATAAGTTGATAAGTGAAACAAGACAATTAGAATAATATACAACAGGAAGTGGTACCACAGAGCATCCCACACCTAGTAATGTCAAGAAAGGTTTCTAAGCATAAGAAGGAATTAATGGGAACAACAGAATGTCATTCTGGTGCATCAAAGTTTGCCCAGCTTCTAGAATACTAACACAGAGTGGGTGGTCAAAAAAATAATTGCTAAACGAAACCACACAAAAGAAGGGAACGATGCAAGATTAGTGAGGGATGGACTAGTATAAAATGATAATAATAAACCACCACATATCAAATGCTTACTCTATGCCAAGTATTTCTGCCAATATTATCATAGTTCCTCTTCATAATAATCATTTGAAGTAGTTAGGCTATCCTCTTTTACAAATAAAGAAAATGAGGTTCAGCCTTAACCGGTTTGGCTCAGTGGATAGAGCGTCAGCCTGTGGACTAAAGGGTCCCAGGTTCAATTCCGGTCATGGGCATGTACCTTGGTTGCAGGCACATCCCCAGTAGGGGGTGTGCAGGAGGCAGCTGATCAATGTTTCTCTCTCATTGATGTATCTAACTATCCCTATCCCTTCCTCTCTGTATAATATCAATAAAATATATTTTTTAAAAAATGAGGTTCAGAAAGTTTAAGTAAAACTTGACCCAGCTGGTGAAGCATTAATTTGCACCTGAGTTTGTGCTTGTAATCACTATACTACCCCATTCATTCAAGAGGTTCCAATCAGAAAAGCTAGAGGAAAATGATGCTTGGGTGTAGCAATGGGAGGCGTGCTAAAAGGGTGCTAAAAGGATGGGCAGGAGCCAGGTCAGGAAAGACCTTGGGTTTTCTTCTGGAAGCAAGGGGAGACTTTAAGATGTTTGAATTTTAGGGGGATCACTCTGGTTTGTGGGCTGAATTTGAACAAGACTAAAAGCAGGTGAGCTAGGAAGCCAGGGATGAGGAATTCCTGAACTGGGGCAACAATAACAGGGATAAGGGTAGAATTTGGGAGATACAATCTGCAAGACATGATGATTGAATGTGTCTGATAAGAAAGGAAAAACTAGGAAATCAGTCTCCAGATTTCTGGATGGTATAATCATCACTGATGTAAGGATCACAAGAGAAACCGGTTTTAAGAGGGGAATAATATACTGATTCCAATTTATGGACATGTTGAGTTGGAGCCAGCAGAACATCCAGATGATGTGCATCAGCAAATGTATGTGTAAGGAAGGAGCAAAAGAAGTGCAGACTGGGAATGCAGAGTGGAATCTACCTGAAAACAACAGATTAAAGCCTAATACAGCAACATATGTCAAGATTGTTTAAAATACAATAATATTTCAGGCATGTTGAAATATTAGTAATTAAACGAAACTATGAAACAAAACTTATTAAGATATTGTGGGGCAGAGGTAATGGGAATGCTATACTTTCTGCTCAGTTTGCTGTGAACCTAAACTTGCTCTAAAACAATCAAGTCTATTAAAAAAATAATTTTCACTGAGGTATAAGACCTAACCTCTTGGGAAAATGACATTTAAAACTGGAGATTTTAAAAATTCATTTTGAAGTGGTGATAAAACATAAAGCAATTAAGTGGCAATAAGAA